GCCCCACCACACCTTCTGCCCCTATGTGCTGCCCCACTGTCCCACCTCTACTGCGCCCCATCCCACGGTGCCCCTCTGCCCCACCCCACCGCATCTTACCCACCCCGCGGCCTCCCCACCCCCTGCCCTGCCACCCCCAGCGACCCACCCTCTGCCAGACTGCCCAGCCACTCGCCGTGCTGCCCACCCCCTTGCCAATTGCCCTGTCACCCACACATCTCCTGCCTGACTGCTCTGCATGGGTGCTGGAACTACAGGGGCGAGGGGGCTGCCGCACCCCCTGGCTTGAAGTGGTTTCCATGATATACAGGGTTGACAGTTTGGTTCAATGCCTCTTAGCACCCCCACTATAGAAATTGTTCCAGCCCCCCTGCTGCTCTGCCCCCCCACAGCTCCCCCCACCCAGGTTCTGCCCAGCTGCCTCGACCACCCACAGCACTCCCTACTTTGCTCTAAGTACCCTTGCCGTGCATATATTTTTACCTTCCCCAGTCACTGTACAGCCTCACCCACTTTCCTCCTATGCCTTTGCTTTGTCCATGCACCATCTCCCTCTATAGCTTCTGTCTTCTGCTGCTTAAAGCTATTACCTAGTTGGCTACATACAGTTAACAAGAGTGTGGCCAGTGTCTGTGGCTTCTGGCCTGTGTCAGTACATTACACTGAGTGAAACTGTGCAGTCACTTGCTTCGTTGTCAACTTTTGCAAAACTCTGCTGGGAGCACCATTTAAAAGTAAGCCTCCTCCTCATTTTTATTTTCAGTAGTGCCCAAAATATACTAGGCACTGTACAAATTATACAGGACCAGTCCCTGTTGTGATGTGCTTACAGTTGATAGTAAACATCGTCCTAAATAGTTAACAATGTTTGTGGAAAACCTTCATAACCTGCAGTCTACCCATTTCACAGCTGATAATGTTTCAAGAGTTTAACAATGAACAAATCTAATATGTTGACATCATTCAAACACATGTGAAAGCCAAGCAGGGCAGTGTCCATTAATACCATGTGGGGGCATCTGACCAGTACAGACTCTGAGTTTCTGTATAGAAACTGGTCTCCATGACTTCTGGTGGCAATGAGAAAGTATTTCCTTTTATCAGTTTTTAATTTTTCACCTTTTAAACTGTAGCTTATGGAGCAAGCAAAGGACTCTCTGCATCCAATGGATAGGATACTGGATTGGCATTCAGAAAAGCTTGATTCTAATTCTCAGCTGCGCTGCTGGCCTGCTGGGTGTCCTCGGGCAAGTCATTTCACGGCTGTGTGCCTCAGTTTCCCCATCTGTGAAGTGGGAGTAATGATACTGACCTCCTTTGTAAAGCACTGTGAGATTTGCAGATGAAAAGTGCTAGTTATTGTGCTTCATTTGGTGTATATTTTATATGCCAGTAAGAGTAAATAATACCTTAAACAATGAAAACAGAAAGAATTTGAGAAGTGGCTTTTTGAGACCAAATAGTTTGTGTATTTGAACTTTTGTACAATGATCTGTTAAAATGTGTCATGATCTAAGTGCTTGTTCAGTCCAATTGTGCTCCACTTTTAAGGAGCAGCCCACAAAGTGGTATGGCTGCAGGCACTCAGCTGGTTTATTGTTGTTTACTAAGATTTTCTGCAGTGCTCTGAAATGGAATTTAATTTTGAAAATTTCTCTGTTACTGGTGAAGTGCTTATAGTAATTCTGAAAGGTTTAAAGAGACACAGCTTAAAAAATCATAGGGTGCAAGCAAATAAAATGTCTTTTCCTATGATATTACTATGACTGTGGACCCTGATCCTCCAAACACACATATGCATCATTTTATTTGAGTAGTCCCTTTGACTTCAGTGACTCGTGTGTACGTGTTTGCATGATCCAGGCCTTATTTAAAAGTGAAAGAATTGTTAAAATGCAAAATACTTGTCATTACTTATGCTCTTTGTTAACTTTCTTGCATTTCTCTCAGCTTGGAGAATGACAAATCAATTTGACTTTTGTTTATATTGTATTCAGTTTTGCTTTCCAGTTTAGTGCTGTAATGTTTAGTTTGCCAACACATCAGGGGGAGTGATTTTGTTTAAAAATATCTTTTTATCAGAATTAATGCCATTGGAATCATTGGAAATAAAATAATACCATTTCTCTGCGTATGATGTTTTATAAAAGTTTGGCTTTACAGATCTACATTTTGAGTCAAATTCAGGTTATCAGCATCTCTTATACAGCTCAAATATTATGCAGTTGGAATGCATTGTTGTATTTACTACCATCTAATGGAAGAACTGAGGAAAAGCAACCTTAACTAATTTAATCTCCTTTTGTAGGCAAATAAAGCAGTTTGCTGACCGATTGAAGCAGGGAAAGCGCCATCTTCCGTACATAATCCAAACAAGATTTAGGGTAAGACAAACCTCTTGTGGGCAGCTTTTGAAGTGAACAGATGGTCTGTTTCGGTTGATGGACACTGAGATTTTGTTACTTTCACTGTTGATTGGAATTTCAAATGTATTGGGGTTTATTCTGTTCAAGGCAATATACAGGGACTTTTAAAATAGAAATAGTAATTTGGCCCAAATTAAACCTGGATCTGAAGACCCCAGAGCGTCCAGAGCTGGAACTGAACTGTGCTGTTAGAGTCCCTCTTTAGTGAATATGTTCCAAAGGCTGATCCTAGTACTAGATACAATAATATCATTTTATAGTGAAGTGTGATAAGAGAGGATAGCCTACAAGAGGAATTATGTAAATTGGATTAAGAAAATATAGTCCTTTTATTATTAGGGCTAAGGGACAGTTGTCTTCTAGCTGGCATTAATAGTAAAGGCAACAGAATGCCTCTGTAAGGAAAGGAGTTAGGGCATTAGCCTGGGATTTGAGGTACCTGAGCTCATTTCCCTCCTCTGCCACAGGTTTCCTGTGTGACCTTGGCAGGGCTGGCTCTAGCTTTTTTGCCGCCCCAGGCAAAAAAAAAAAAAAAAGGCGGCCGGACTGCCAAAGCAAAAAAAAACAAAAAAACCCCGGCAGTCGCAGGGAGCGTGTGGAGGGCGGTCAAGGCGGCTTGCAGGGGGGTGAAGGGCGGCACCCGCCCGCTCCCTCCACCCGTGGGCAGCCAGGCGCTGCAGCTCGCTTGCAGCCGGGCGAGAGGGGCTCCCCCCTCCGGCCTTGGGGTGTCTCTCCCGGCCGGGCAGGCTCCAAGGGGGCCGACACAGGCAGCCCTGGCTGGGGTGTGCGACCTCCGCCTGGGGCCGGCATTGCAGCGGGGCTCGGCACAGTGCAAACGGCACCGGGATCAGTGGGGCCCACCCCTCTGCTGCCCGCCGGGCCGCTGCAGAATCCTCCCTCCCTGCCTCCACTGCCCGCTGGGCCGCCGCAGAACCCTCCCTCCTTCCGGTGCCCACTGGGCCACAGCAGAACCCTCCCTCCTTCCAGTGCCCGGGGGCTGCAGGAGGTGCTGGCTCAGCCGCTCCTTTAAAGGCGGCTCTGCCGGGCCGGGATCAGAGCGGCACGGGAGGTGGAGGCCGGTGCAGGCGGCGGGGAGTGGCGCATCCCGGGGACCCCGGCGGCACGATGAGCAGCGGGGATCACTAGTTCCTGCCCCCCCAGGCCAGGGTCCGTGCCCCTGCAGGGCTGGGCTGGCTGCCCCAAGATTGGCCGCTATGCCGCCCCTTACAATGTGCCGCCCCAGGCATGTGCTTTCTCGTCTGGTGCCTGGAGCCGGCCCTGGACCTTGGGCAAGTCCCTTGCGCTCAGATCCTCAAAGTTGTAGAGGCTTCTAGCTCCCATTGAAATCAACAGGAATTAGGCACCTAAATACCTATAAGGGTCTGGGCTTTAGTCTCTCTGTGCCTCAGTTGCACAGCTGTACAATGGGGCTAATAGCAGTGCCCTGCCTCACAGGAGAGATTGCGAGGTTAATCCATTAAAGAGTATGAATTGCCCAGATACAACACAAATGCAGGTAGAGTTTAGTGCCACCTAATCAGGAATAAGAATATACCACTTTGGTCAGAGATGAGACAAGCTATGTAAATAAAAAGTTGTTAGAATTGAATGGCAGGCAGAGGGCTCAAAGGCAGCCTTTGAAGGAATTTGTTATGTGACAGGAAGTGAAAACAAACTGGCAATTCCATTCAGTGTGAAATTAAAGTGGTGCATACACTGGAATAGAGAGCAGGGGCGGCTCTATGTGTTTTGCCGCCCCAAGCACAGCAGTCAGGCAGCTTTCGGCGGCGTGCCTGCGGGTGGTCCGCTGGTCACGCCGATTAGGCGGCGTTTCTGCGGGACGTCCGCCGGTCCCGCAGCTTCGGCATACCTGCCGCCGAATTGCCACCGAATCCGCGGGACCAGCGGACCTCCCACAGGCATGCCGCCGAAGGCAGCCTGACTGCCGCCCAGGGCTGCCCAGAGGGGGGGCAAGTGGGGCAATTTGCCCCAGGCTCCAGGCCCCGCAGGGGCCTCCATGAGAGTTTTTCGGGGGCCCTGGAGCGGGGTCCTTCACTTGCTCCGGGGGCCCCGGAAAACTCTCGCGGGGCCCAGGCCCCCAGAGCTTCTTCCGCTCCGGGTCTTCGGCGGCAGTTCGGCGGCGGGGGTCCTTCCGCTCCGGGACCCGCTGCCGAAGTGCCCTGAAGACCTGCGGCGGGGGGTCCTTCCGCCCCGGGACCCACCGCCAAAGTGCCGGGTCTTCGGCGGCAATTCAGCGGCGGGGGCCCCCTGCCGCCGAAGACCCCAGGCCCCCTGAATCCTCTGGGCGGCCCTGCTGCCACCCTCACAGGGACCGGCAGGCTGCCCTCTGGCGGCATGCTTGCTGCTCTGGTGCCTGGAGCCGCCCCTGTAGGGAGGGGCTGTAACTTCTGATTAGAAGAGAGATTGTTAAAGTCTCCATAATGTTGAGAAAACAGATTATTCAGCCAGTGACTTTGCAGCTAAGATGCTAATGCAGGAGGTTCACCCCTTTGCTGTAATAAGTGTCAGGAGGCAGGTAAACCTGACATACATATAATGTTTTGGTGATTCAGGGGAGATGGAGTTCTGAAATGTTACAGTGCTAACAGAGAGAGACAGCCTGTCAGTGAGACACTGAAACACCTGAGCTCTGACATTGTAAGATGTGATTCTTTGTCTTAATTACAAGATCCTGCCATACCTGGCTAACCTTGTTACCCAAACTAGCACTGGTTACGATCTGATACCATTTGTTAATGTGTGACCAGTGGCTCTCTCCATTTGCTAATCAGCTTTGCTTTATTTGAGATCTTTTTGGTCTTAGTCTATTCTTGGAATATTCACAGTTGTCCTGTAATGTACTTTTGGTCATTTTCCCCAACTGTAACCAACAAATGGACAATTCCATTCTGTTAGGTCCCTAAACACCCTCTGCCTTTCTGTGAAAGGGTCCCAGCTCCCTTCACTAAATTTCAGTAGCTTTGAGCAGAACTGACATCACCGATTTGTGTGATAGCATTATGAATAACACACACAAATCAAAAGAGAAGCAGAACCAGAAATAAGTTAAAATACGCTTTTATTTATAGTGTTGAAAAATTACTCATCATGTTTCTACGTTTGTACAGGGCCTGGCACAATCGGGCCCCCGACCTGGCTGAGGCCTCTGGGATATAAATGTTAAATAACACTGATGATGATAATAATCGGCTACAAACTCATCCAAGCTATTGTGTCCAAGTCTGATACACTGAGATTTTTTTAAAAAAATATTTAAATAAGTTCCATGGAAGTGCTAGAGGTTACACAAATCCCCCAACAATATTTAATGCTGCTCTACAATAACACTTAGCTCTTATAAACTTACACCCAGATCTGCAAAGGTATTTAGGCACGTGACTCTGAGCTAGGATCTGGGCCTTAACTGTTTGCATCCTTATCTCTCAAAAGCACAATTATCTACGTTGTTTTGCAGCACAGTCATTTGTATAAATGAAGCAGCTGAAGTAATGACAGGTAAATAGTAATACTAATATTTCTGGTGCTTGTATCCAGGGTCGGCTCCAGGCACCAGCTTACCAAGCAGGTGCTTGGGGCGGCCACTCTGGAGAGGGGCGGCACGTCCAGCTGTTCAGCGGCAATTCAGCGGACGGTCCCTCACTCCCCCTTGGAGCGAAGGACCTCCCACCGAATTGCCATCGCGGTCGCTGATTTTTTTTTTTTTTTTTTTTTGGCTGCCCGGGGCAGCCAAAACCCTGGAGCCAGCCCTGCTTGTGTCACTCCCAGGTTAATAAGCACAAAATGCACTTTAAAAAAAACGCAATTGCATTTGTAAAAAGCTTGCAAAACCTTGCTTTCCCCCTACCCAGAATTGTTCTAATGCAGTGGTTCTCAAACTGTTTTTTTCGCGGACTACTTGAAAATTGCTGAGGGTCTCAGCAGACCACTTAATGATCTTTCCAAATGTTGTTTGTACCGTTAGCTAACTATTGTAAAGCGCTTTGGATAAAAGCATTATATTAAAAAAAAACTTAATAATAATTAACATTTTTTGTTCTACAAATAAAAGCACACAACTCATATTTTAATATCAGTAGTCTTGCCTTTCTAATGCGATGGATGTGCCCTCTTTCCCCTGCCACGGCAGTCCCCGAGCTGGGGTTGGGAAGGAGTGGGGGTATCCCTTGCTGCAGCAGCCACCAAGCTGGGCTGGGAAGGAGAGAGGGTCTCTCCCTCTCTCCCCTGCTGCGGCAGCCCCCAAGCTGGGATTGGGAAGGAGAGGGGTCTCTCCCTGGCAGCCACAGCCCTGGAGCTGGGGAAAGTTGCCTCTTTCTCTGGCTGTTGCAGCCCTGCACGTCCCAAATTCCCCCCACCTCCTCTTCTCACCCCACTGCCCCCTCCCACCTACCCCCTATTCCTCCCAAGGCCACCACCTCACCTTACATGTCCGTCTTCTCCAGGGTCCAGGCACCTAATTAGTGGAGCCATGCCTGCAAGGCTCCATTTATTAGGTGGCTGGCCCTTCAATCTCTTGTGTATGGCCCCCCAGGCATGTACCTTAGAGGAAACTATCCGCGGACCACCTGAATGGAGCTCGCGGACCACAGTTTGAGAACCTCTGTTCTAATGCAACAGTCCATTGCCCTGGAGGCTGTTCCATTGCTCAAAGGACCCTCCATTGAAAATGATAGACTCACAAATGTTCCGCTGATCAAACTATCCGATTGACTCATCGCTCCAAAGTGATTTTATTATCCTGTACCTTCTACCCATCTTTCTATGTGTTGTTTTTTTTAATCACAGTTTTAGCAGCCATTTTTGTAGGGATCCTCTATTGACCGCTGGTGTAGTACAATATGAGATGTAGGCGAGGGCAAAGCTAGATATTATAAATGTGAAGACACTTCAAACTGATGACCTACTTTATAAAGTGCAATCGGAAAAATGACTGTAAAAATGAGATTGAGGCATATTGTGTATTCTCTCTCAATTGAATCTGGATCAGATTTTCTGAGTTTACACATTCTGAGTGAAATTCACCACTGTGCAGAGGTGCCTGCACCACTTAAACCCAATTGTGAGATCTCCTGCGATACATTCATAGGCCTTGCGCAGGCCCTCTGCATAAGAGTGAATTCCACCCTCAAAGAGGATTTTTCTGTCTGCTGGCTGCAAAACTCATTCTGAGATCTGAAAATCCAGCTGGGCTCTTTCTGCTTCTTGCATCAGTAGCAGCAATGGAGGAGCACAGTTTTGATCTCTTAATGAAAGAAATAATGTTTGCCCACTAATGTGTTAGGCCCTAACATACTGTGGGGGTAGGCAATCAGAGAAATAGATTAGCTATGAATGAGACAGATTACAACTCACTCCCTCATTGTTCTGCAACGCTTAAGGGGAATCAGTAAAGTCAGACATGAGGAGCAGAGATGAAGGTTAAGAGAGGGCCATTTTTATGCTTTCAGACTGTATTTTTTGATCAAAGCACCGAGTTTCTCAATCATCTGCAGCAACCTCTTTTCTTCTTTGGTGGCGCTGGTACCTCCACCACCTCAGTTTTTAATCTGTCTTCGTGAGCTTTCAGTGATCTGGCATGATAAACATGAAACGAATTAGCCAGTTAATTGCCCTGCTGTTTGGAATCGACATCATCATCTGTCGTGGAAAGCTCTATTAAAGGGTATGGCTGGGGTGTTCAAAGGGTCTGAAAAGAGTTGCGTGCCCGACTCTCACAGCAATTCAATGGAATTTGGGCACCTATTCCTTTAGGCTCCATTGAAAATTCCAACCTCAATCAAGCCACAGTCAAAACAAACCTGCTCACGTCAATCAACCCATAGGAGAGTTAAGCAACATCCTGAGGATTGGAGCCCAGATTGCGAACTGTCTCCAGGCAAAGCAGTAAACCTGACAACAGCAGGTAGAATGATGCCTGGCTTGTTGCTTCCAGCTAGCCACCTACTGTCCGCACAACACCCCAGGAGAAGGAGGAATAGCTAAGGTCCTTGGTGCCCTCAGGTCGTGTTATTCTGTGATGGGGAGAAGAGGATTGGGCTGGCAGCATCTAGAAGTCACACTGGACATTTTTAGTGGGGAGCATAAGTGGATCTGGGCCCGGTATGCCCTATTCCGTTCTTCCTTCCAACAATCTGTTCTAGGCACAAAAACATACTACTGATGATTTTGTTAACCTGCTTTTACAGGGCTGAATGTTTGAGGTGCATCCTGACATTCCAGTGAAGAATCCATTTAGGGCCCATTTTTGTGGGCCAGGACAGTGGAATGAACTCCCCCATGAACTAAAGACCATCACAGACCTCACCACCTTCCACACCAAGTGCAAGATGCACTTCTCCGAGCTTGTCTTCTCCAACATAAACACAGACCAACATATGTACTTAAGGAAAAAACAACCCCCCCGCCAAAACAAGCCATGCCACTGCACATGCTTCTCTGCTCGGGGAGAGGATGAGAGAACAAACAAGTGACTGATGTTAGTCACGTTGCTTAATACATGACTGGAAAGTACTCTGATACTATGCAGTGTAAAAACCTGTCTCAGCTAGAACAGACTCTTATCTTTGCACCTGTGGCCGGATCCTCAGCTGTGGTAAACTGGTGTAGCTCCAGTTTTGACAGGCCCTGGGTGGGCACATAGGAGCTGCGTACATTATCTATGGAGCATGGGGATATACAACCTTCAGCTGCAGGGGTCACTTCAGCATGCAAAGCTGAAGAAGAGCAATGGAAATCAGGACCCAACCCATTAATTCAGGACAGTCAACAATCCCACGGCACACTGCTCACCTGGCTAAGTCAATCATGGATTCAGAGACTTTGTGGCCTGATGCAGCACTGCATTCATAAAACAAGAGCTCACACTCCTGGAAGACACAAGAAGGCACACACAAATGCACTTCCCTTCCAGAACTGTTTGGTAGGTTCAAGCCATAGATTTAAAAGAGGTCGAGCGCAAGTGCTATGATTTTTCCCAGATAATCATCAAACAACCAAAGACGGGGGAGTCGGTGCATTTGGAGCAATGATATCATGGTTTGTATAGGATTTAAAAAAAAATCACGAGGGACTAATTACACGAGGAAAGGTGGTGATCTGTTGGAAATGCATGGTCTCCTTGCTGCTGCGATATGGAATTCATATGTGAATAAAATTGTACATTGTAATTATTAAGTTTTAGGAATGTTAAGAATGAAATCCAGCTTCCCCAGCAGCTTCAGTGCTAATCTTTAACGGCAAGGGAAAGCCTGGCATACTATAGACATACACAGAGGCAGCATTGCCTAGTGGATAGAACACAGAGTTGGCAGCTAGAATGTTCTCTTTCTGGCTCTGCCAGTGACTTGCTGTGTGTCCTTGGGTAAGTCACTTCATCTCTCTGTCCCGGGTTCTGTAAAATGGGGAGAACGATACTTGTCCATCTCACGGACCATTACAAGAATCAGTGCTTGGACACATAAAGCATCTTTCAAAAGGGATGATTCAGTAATTGCTTTATGCTTTTATTATTTACATAGTGCTGGAGAGGTGCCTGGCATGTTACGGTGCAGATAGGCCCAGATCCTCAAAGACATGTAGGAGCCTAACTCCCACTGAAATCAAGGGAATTACGCACTTAAATACCTTTGAGGATCTGGGCCAGATTCCCTGCCTCAAAAACCTCACAGCCTGAGGCCCTGATCCTGTAAGCTGTTCTGCTGGGGTTCAGTGGAGGAGGACCAGGGAATAGCTTGCCAGATCGCGGTCTGAGTTAAAATAAGGCCAGCAGGAGGAGTCAAAAACACAAGGAGCAGGAGGGCGCAAGATATGGTTCTGTGGTCATTTCCTGGCAATTAATGACTAGACGATGAGTTAAGGGCTTTCTGCTTTGCCTCAGGTCCTCAATTCCCACACTAATCGTTAATGGAAGGAAATGCCTATCCTGTCAGTCACCATGGCTTAATTATAGCCTTGGTTTTGCTTTATTCTTTTAACCCCCCAACCGCCAACTAAAGATGGTGAAAGAATTTAAATGGATGGTAAACGCCAATAGATCTGTTCACATACCTTAGCCAAGCGTCCACCCTCTTCAGTAGATACCTGTCTTTCTGTGGCACAGTCTGTTTTGTTACCAAGTAGAAGGATGACAACTCCATCTCCTGCTCCTTCCTGTGAAGCAGGACAGGTGGGGTGAAATCTTGGCCCCAGTGAAGTCAGTGGAAGTTTTGCCATTGACTATAATGGGATCTGCAGTTTCTTCAAATCATAGCCCTACACAGCTTCTGAACACATCAGGGCAAAGCCTAGAGTAACCCCACTGACCTGCATGGATTTGGTCCATTGGGGCTTGGGTTTACATGATAGAGCATCTCTTCCAGAAAGGCATCTGGTCTTGATTTGAAGCCATGAAGAGATGGAGAATCCGCCACTTCCCTCGGAAGTTTGTTGCAATAGTTTCAACCGACCCCAGAGTAGGTTGAAAAATTAATTTAAACATTTAATGAAAAAACTGACTTTGTTTCCATTCCTCAGGGTTCAAAGCTGATCCATTTTCTTTAAAAAAAAAAAAAGCTTTTGTTTTTTTTGCAATTTTTTAAATAAAAAACACTACAGAAATCATTTTCAAAATCCTTCATTTCCCCCAAATCAAAACAAAAAAGAGTTGATAGCCATTTTGACAATGTTTTCATAAACAACATCAGGAAAATATTGTGCAAAATAAGGAAAAAATGAACCTTTATTGCAAAATAAATAAATGAATGATAGAATAAAGGCTATTAATTAACATAAGAATGGCCATACTGGGTCAGACCAAAGCTCCATCTAGCCCAGTATCCTGTCTTAAACAGTGGCCAATGCCAGTGGCCAATTGACAAAAAAAAATAATCTGAAAAATTTCCACCTGCTCCAGTTATAGCCAGCTCATGGATGAGATGCAAAATCAAGGCTGTGATCTTTCATGGTTATTAAAGAACCCGTGAGACTTTTCCCTAAACAAGAATAAGGGTGTTAGTGGTATAGTTCTACAGGGAATTCTTAAAGCACCCATCTTGGCAGCCACTGCATTGTCTCCATAAGAGATAAGGCCAATTTAGCCCTCATATTCATGTAGGTGCCTGCAGCAGACTTCAGTGGGAACTGTGAGTGTGTGGTCAAGGGCAAAATTTGGCCCATATTGATGGAACAGTTTTGCTTAGTGGCTAGCGCGCTGGACTGAGACTCAAGAGACCTGGGTTCTATTCCAGGCTCTGGCCTGCTGGGTAACCTTTTCCCTCGCTGTGCCTCAGTTTCCTCATCTGTAAAATGGGGATAATAATACTGACTTCCTTTGTAAAGCACTTTGTGATCTGTGGATGAAAAGTGCTATATAAGAGCTAGTATTATTATGACACCAAAGAAAGACCCTGCCACTCTTCAGTTACTTGCTACTGCAAATCCCAAACCTCATGTGGCCAGATGCAGACTAATGCAAATCAGTGTAGCTCCATTGACATAATGGAGTTACATCAATTAAAACCATCTGAGGATCTGGTCGGATACAGCTGCATACGTTGAAATTCACAAATGTTTCTTCCATCCGCATTCCTAGCTTAGCATAAGACATGGGTCGAATTCATTCCTTATGTCATTCCAGTATGTTTGATGGGGATTACATCATGGGTGAATCTGTCTAGATAATGATACTGAGGGCTGATAAAATTTCATGGCATTTTTCATCCAGTACATGGGTTGTTTATGTCTTTTTCAAAAAACGAATAGTCCCAGTACCAATGCCCTTGTTCCTCTCTTGACTATTTTCTTGTACCAATATATTCATCCTAAACATGATTCATAAAATATAGGTGGCCCAATTCTGCTCTGATTTCTGCCCCCAGTCAGTCTGGCTGAGTATAGCTGGGTTTGATGAGGTTTAGGTCAGGGCAGAATTTGGCCCTGTCTTCTAAAATGACTACGTGTTTCTTTTTGAGAATATAGCATTTAAAGATCTCAGAGCCTCTTGCACTAATTAATTTAGCCTCACAACCCTCCCTCTCCCATTGAACAGCTGGGAAACTGAGGCATGGAGCGGTGCAGTGCCTCACTGAGAGTCAAACAGCAAGTCCGAGACCAAGCTGGGAATAGAATCTAGGGGTTCTCGTTTCCAGTCCCCCACTCAACAGCTAAGGGTATGTCTACACTGCAAAAAAAGGTGTGTTCTTGACTCAGGTTAACTAAACCACATTAGCTAACTCAGATTAAAATAGCAATGAAGACATGACAACTCGGCTTTAATTTGGGTTAGCAGCATGAATTCAAGCCCAGAGTTCAAAGTTGAGTTGCCATGGCTTCACTGCCAGTCTAACCCAAGTTAAGAACACTCCTTTTTTGCAGTAGAGACGTACTTTAAAGCTCACCGCCTCTCCTAGTTGAACAGACAGACGTGTTTCCTGGTTATGCCTGGTAGATATATTTAAATAGTTCCTTAGGCTATGGCATTATGTCTCTGGGTATGTCTACACAGCAACTGGGAGATGTAATCCCCAGCGTGAGTAGACATGTACGCACTAGCTCTGCTCAAACCAGTGCCTAAAAACAGTGTGGTCATGGCGGCTCGGGTTGTGTACCCAAGGAGTCAGGCAGGATTGATTGTACTCTGGCGGCTAGCCCGAGCCCCTACCCATTCTGTGGCAGCCATGCTGGAATTTAGGTACTAGCTCGAGCTGTGCTGGGAATTACACCTCCTGCCTGCTGTGTAGACACATATATGAGACAGAGCAAGCCAGTGCAATAATGAGCATCCAATGACCCTGCCATTGGACTCCCTCTGACACCAGCTGTATCATCCAGGGTAGCCATCCCAGAAGAACCTATCTTGAACTTAGTGCATTTAAAACCAGGAAGGAGGGGAGAGTTATCACCCAGCCAAATTCAGATTCCAATCACACTGGGGTTAATCTGGAGCAGTGGTTCCCAAACTGGGGTTCGTGAACCCCTGGGGGTTCACGAAATGTTACAGGGGCTTCTGGAGAAAAAATTCCCTAATGGCGGACAGAGCTGTCCCCAGGGACCCTGGGCAGCACGGGGCCAGCAGCCTGGAGCCCCTGGACTTCCAAGAGAGAAGCAGATCAAAGCAAGCATATCTATCACACTGAGGAGATTTAAACTTCAAGACTCCTTATACGAAATGGAAAGGGAGGTGGATATTTTTTGCTGTTTTTAAAATTAAATAGGCAGCTAGTATTGTTTTTAAAATTATTATGAAGAACAAGTTTAAACTTTGTTGTAACGTGTGTTATTTGCCTGGACTGCTCAAGACTTGAATGCTTGTGTAGGAGGAACTCTTTGAGTTGGCTTCTTAAATACTTTTATGCTGTTTCACATCTGATACTCCTTGATGAAACATGGGAGCCTTGTCTTATAACAGGCTTATTCAAAGTGATACAAGCTACGAAAGTGAGATCTTGGAGGAGTTTTCATAATGTAATAAAAATACTGTAATGATAAATAATAATTAATAATAAATAATATCAGAGGGGTAGCCGTGTTAGTCTGAATCTGTAAAAAGCAACAGAGGGTCCTGTGGCACCTTTAAGACTAACAGAAGTATTGGGAGCATAAGCTTTCGTGGGTAAGAACCTCACTTCTTCAGATGCAAGAGGTTGCATCTGAAGAAGTGAGGTTCTTACCCACGAAAGCTTATGCTCCCAATACTTCTGTTAGTCTTAAAGGTGCCACAGGACCCTCTGTTGCTAATAATAAATAGTGTGTAATAAGCATGTCATAATTTTTTTTTTATATTTCCAAGATCACGGCTTTTTATAATTTATACTCAGGTAAAGGAGAAAATCCCTGGAAATATTCATTTTTAGGAGGGGGTTCGCGAGACTTGGCATTTTAGTGAAAGGGGTTCACGGGTTGTTACAGTTTGGGAACCACTGATCTGGAGTAACTCAGTTGAAGAGAACAGCATCACTGAGTTTACACTGCAGAATATGGTCCATAACACCCACCCTTATGAAAGGAAGGAAAAGCCAGAGTGAAGAAACATGTAGACTCTTTGGGCCAGATTCTCTGATGATGTAAATTGGTGTCGCTTCAATGAAGCTATCCTGATTTAAACCAGCTAAGGATCTGACCCTGTGCCCATCATGATTCCGTTACAGCATTCGCATGGGCCGGATGGTTTTGTAGCTAAAGCAGAGATATGAGTTCTAGCCCCAGTGCTCCACTGACTCACTGTGCAGCATCGGGCATATTACCTTACCTCTCTTTGCCTCAGTTTCTCACCTGTAAAATGGGGATAATAATACTCGCCTACCTCTCAGGGGAGAAATGAGTCTCAGTTCATTAATGTTAATGTCTATCTGGAACTTCTCAGATAGAAAGAACTAATAAAGCATAAAGAATTATAGGGTGGAAGCCTGGTCCCATTGAAGTCACTGGGAGTCTTGGCATTACCTTCAATGGAGCCAGGATTTCACCCATTATACCTGCCTGGATACAGCTCAGCCAGTACCGCACATCCGCGAAGGAGTATTCTGAAGTGACATCATACATCAACACCACTCCGTCAGCTTTTCGGAAGAACTGCTTGGTGACGCTATGGTACCTGTCAGAAAGCACTTTTGCTTTTCACACTTAGGTACATACTCTTTTTGCACCATTTTTAACAGCAATCCAGAGGTTTAAAAAACCCACAAGTACATACAAAGTGTGTTTCAAGTAGGGGTTGTGCAAAACCATGGTAACAAAACTGAAAATGCAAATGTGCAAAAATATGCAAATATTCCCTCCTGCAAAGGTGTGAAGCAAAGACACCATTTTGCAAAGTTTGATAGATAAGTGAAACTGGGGGAGAATATGGGCAGGGGGTTGCAAAGCTTCGGCAGAAATAAATTTCAAAATTTATTACAGTTTTGCAGAGCCTTAACTGTGTGTGCATGTGTTTATAGATAGATAACAGGTAATTATAGTATGTGTGTATGTGTATATGCATACACATGGAGTAAATAGACACACATTATATTGTGTGTATACCATATACATATAAACACACAAAATACAGACAAATATTTGTGTGTGTCTATGTATATACATATATAAATAGAGTAAATACACACACTACATATTATGTGTATATGTTTACAAATACATATATCCACAAAGGAGGGATAGCTCAGTGGTTTGAGCATTGGCCTGCTAAACCCAGGATTGTGAGTTCAATCCTTGAGGGGGCCATTTGGGGCAAAAATCTGTCTGGGGATTGGTCCTGCTTTGAGCAGGGGGTTAGAGCAGCGGGTTAGACTAGATGACTGCCTGAGGTCCCTTCCAACCCTGATATACTAAGTAGATATACATGCACATACGTTTGTAGTAAACACACACGTATTTGTGAATTTAGGGTCAAATCCTGGCCTCTCTGAAATCGGCAGGAGTTTGCCTTGAGTTGAGTGATACCAAGGTTTGGCCTTCAGCACTTATGAGAGGGGCCCTACTGACAGCCCTGGGGACTAAAGGTCTCCCTAAATTCAGTCCTGCCCCACTGAGCTTGGATGTTTATTCTTCATCTCGACTTTATCCTTTCAAACGTCTTGTGTGAGCATATATTTATGTGGATTTCCTTATCCAAAGACGTATTTCCCTGTACGCATTCTTTTTTGTATGTACAGCACTGTGCCTTACCTTTCTTGGCCAGCCGTGTCCCATAGGCGTAGAGCAAAGCACTTGTTGTCCACAAAAAGGTTTTTGACCCGATAATCCATTCCTAGGGCATACAGCACATTTGTAATGTGGTAGAATTCAGCCATGAGATATGGACATGGGGCAGGAGTGATAGGGTGATATTCTATGGCCAGCCTAGATGATCACAATAGTCTCTTCTCAGATTAAAATGCCAGAATAGTGGCTGGGTTTTAAAAAGGTCTGGTTAGTTTTATGATGACTAATAAGAGTAACAGTTGGGCATGTTCTGCTAACCGGTGCATGGACCAGGGAGAATTTCTGCTCCATTGCCCCCCTGTACAATGGGTTGGGTGCTTTATTTAATGTTTATCGCCGATCCTGCAGTCCGGTCCGCACAGCCAGCCCCTTGCTGCTGCAGAATCCCAGTGAGGTCAATGGGAACCCATGCACAGATCAGACTGCAGGATTGGGGCCTGAGAATGGTAATGTGCCCAAGCTCAAGGTATATATGTACAAATCCATCTTAAATATGTGGAGGTGTGTCTCTCACCTTCCTCTCATGCATCAATGATTGGCCACTCCTGCAGGCTCTGACTTAATCCATCATTGGTTTGATTTGGCAGGGCAAGTCCTATGCAGGGGCGGCTCTATGCTTTTTGCCACCCCAAGCACGGCAGTCAGGCGGCCTTTGGCAGCATGCCTGCGGGCGGTCCGCGGGTCACGTGGATTCGGCGTCGTCTCTGCGAGTGATCTGCCGGTCCCGCGCCTTGGGCGTGCCCGCCGCCGAATTGCAGCTGAAGCCGCGGGACCGGCGGACCTCCCGCAGGATGCTGCCAAAGGCTGCCTGACTGCCGCCCTCACAGCGACCGGCACATCGCCCCCCGCTGCTTGCCGCCCCAGGCACGCGCTTGCTGCGCTGGTGCCTGGAGCCGCCCCTGGTCCTATGTCCCTACAGGACTGTATTTATGCTTAATGGAAGCTGTGGGATTCTTACCTACAGTAGCAGTTAGGCTTGGGTTGAAGGAATTCTCGTGTAACCGGTACAGAAACGATGTTTTGCCAACGTTTGAGTCCCCCACAAACAACACGTTATAAAGATGGTCTGGATCAGGGCAGGTCTCCGTGATGGCTTTAGCAGCTCCACCTGGCTGCTCTGGTGTCACATTAGCTTGGTACCCTTGGCCTCCCAGTTTGGGGATTGCATCCTCGTTCGCTTTCACACTGCTCGTTTGCTTCTCCTCTTGTTGAAAAATATCCATGTCTCCTCTTGTTTCTTCTGCCCGTGTTGCTTCTGGTTTCCCAGTGCTTTGGGGCTGCGTCTTGGCCTGGAGTGTATCCCCCAGCTGGCTGGCTCTGAGAAGGGCTTCTTCTTGTTCATTTTCTACACCTTCTTTGTGCAGGGCTCCCACATGAGGGAAATAAGTTGGTGGTGTCTCCTGTTTTGGTGGCTCTCTCTGCTCAAATGTCTTCTCCTCCGGCGCTTTCATTTCTGGAGACTTTTCCTTCAGCAGTGCCTGCTCAGAAACAGCAGGTGGCCACTCATCTGCAAGGACCACATCTCTCTTCATTGATACCCACTTCTGAATTTCATCTGCCTGCTCTGTAATGCCAGGCTGTGATACACCTGGCAGGAGAACACCTCCCTCTGGCGGGTTCTGCTTGTGAATGGTGGCTTGCATTGCCAGCTCTGAAACAGCAGGGGGCTGCACCTCTGCATAAACAACCTCTTTCTTCGTGAGTTTTTGAGCCTGATCCTGCGTTGCTGGCTCAGAAGCCCGAGCCTGCTTCACCTCCTGTGCATGAGGTTCTGCTTGAGTTGGTCCCTGTTTAAGAGCCTCTCTTTGGGATGTAGCCTGATTGGTGGAAAGGACTGAAAGTGCCTCAGGCAGGGCCTTCAGTTCATTGTCATTTCTTGAGAGCACCTGATGCTCTGAATCTCTGACCTGCTTGATTCTTTGCTCAGAATCCCCACCTTGTCTGGCTGGCTGTAAAGAAGCATCCCCAAGCAGTAGGTCATCTGTCCCTGGTACTTGTGATTCAGACACCTTGTTCAGAGCTGCTATTGCATCATTCAGTTCACTGAGCAAAGAGCTTTGGCCTGAAAATTCCTGCTGGAAGAACGCCTCTCCCTTTTTCATAAACTCTGTGAAGGGGTCTTCTTCTGTGGAGATCACTCTTGTCCTCTGTCCCGAATCAGCTTCAGGAGAAAATGAAATACCGTATGGCACCCTGCAAAATAATATACAATGGCATATGCTATGTACAGGAGAAAGAAAATAAGACCATAATGGGACACGCAAACACACTACATTGCACTGAGCTCTATAGACTATACCAGTGCTGTGAAATACATCAGAGAGCAGGGATGCCGTGCTTGTATGTAACCCTTCTGCTGGGTGGAACCTGCAGCAGCCAGGGCTGGGTTCAATATCTAGGGGTTCCTTTCCATCAATCCAACACAGAACCAGTTCAAGCCCCCACCCAGTAACCTGGAAAATTTACCCATCGCCCCTGGGCGCCTGAGAGGCAATACTTCCCCACTTGCAAGCATAGAGTCTGAATGTAGAAAAGAAACTTTTAATAAAAGGAGGGAAGTAACTCAGTGTTAATTTGTGAAAACACTGCAAACAGGGTTCATAAACATAAACCATGAGTAAAGACCCCCCTCAAGTAGGTTGGGCAGTGTCCTTTTCCCCTCAGGTTCTTAAGTCCAGCAACCCAAAAGTCCCCTTCACATGCCCAACCCTTCTATGCACCCCTGGTTGCTGCCCCTGGTCAGTGCAGACCCAGAGTTCAGAGGTGCATCTGCAGAGTTCACCTCCCACCCTGCGTGGGGGGTAAAGCGGGAGGGGAAGAGGCATCTTACTCGCTCCTCATGTATGTTAATGCAGCAATAAAAACAATTGCACCTGGCTTGAGGGATTATTGTTTAGTCCCTTGTGCACTGGGTGAGATTAAAAGAAAAGTAAATGGCTCAAACCACTGATAAAGAGGCCTATCGGTAAAACATGATGAGGGCTTGATGCAAAGGTAAAACAGCAGAAGGGGATGATCACGGGCATCCGATTAAAATAACTGAGCTTTGTAAAGGATAAAGGTTGGCAGAGAGATTGCTAGGCAGGTAAGGAGGTGCAGTTAACAATGCCCTGTGCTGGGGGGTAGTGGGGATAGAACCTCTTCAGCACCACCTCTCACGCCTCTACCACTTGGGCTAAAGAGTAACCCCATTGTCCAGTGGCAGCAGTAGGCTATTACCCTCTCTGTGGACTAGCTACTGGAAGGGGGCTTTGTCCACTTAGTCAGCATCTTACATGAGTTAATGCAGAAACTACCAAAAAAAAAAAAACCCAAAAACTAATGGACAAATCACCCTTCTGTCTCTTGGGATACAATGCACAAAATGCCCCTCCAGTGCTGCTCAGCGTATGAGATACACTGGGCAAAATGTTCCCTCACATCACGTGCTAAGTACAACGCAGTGTCCCACTGGGGTTTCAGTAGAACCTCAGCACGTGGGAGGAACACGATAGCCGCCATGGAGCAGGACTGAGGTATCACCAGGGGGGTAATCATCACTCCTTTGATCCTGCCTTATCTAAACAACTCCCCTCCATTCGTGCCACTTACGGCTGACGGGAGCTGTCTGGTATATCATCGCTCTGCTGGGATCCAAGTCTAATATACCTTTCAGAGCAGAATATTTTATCCTCATTCAAAGTTTCCTTAAACAAACCGGGGAAAAGGGAGAGAAAAAACATAATTGGTGAGAGAACTTAAAAGGAAAAATCGCTTTGCTCTTGTGCTGGCTACAGCCCTTTCTCTGCAGCATAAACTCTCTTATCCCCTCCCTCTGGTAGGCAGATCGTGATGAATGGACCTTCTAAAAATACTTTTACATAACACTTTTCACCCATCGATCTCCAAGTGCTTTACAGGGGCCAGTGTCATCATCCACATTTCACTGATGGAGAAACTGAGGGGAAGCAACTTGCAGCCCATCAGGGGTAGAGCTGAGAATTGAACCCAACTCTTTCCTCTCCTTGTTCAGAATCCTATCCAGTCGGCCACACCGACTCCCTTTATGGGTCTGTCTACACTGCATCTGGGAGAGAGCCTTGTGCAAGCAGGGATGGGGCTAGCATGCTGAAAATAGCTGTGTAGACATTGCTTTGACCTTGCATCTCAGGCCCTAGAGCCTGAGATGAGGAGGTGGGCTTGAGAGCCGGAACTGCAACATCAGAGCAATGTACATCTCCTACATGGCCTCACCCATCCCTCGCACTGCCTAGTTTCAGAAATGCAGAAAGATTAAAACGAGATAAGGTTCCACCACGAGCACGGCCGTGCCCCAGAAGGCTTTGCTGGAGCAGTATCTTCTGATGGTACTGGGGCCACTGCAGCTGGTCAGCCCCTCGCATGGTGGGAGGGCAGGGTTAGTGCCAGTGTGAGAGGAGGCAGCCATGTTGAGGTGGAAGGCAAAGGCAGTGCTACACGGGGGGAAGGGAGGAGCTAACTGATCCACCCCCCTAACCTGTAGCATGAAAACAGGATCAGTTTCCCCCTGCACAGATGAGATACCTGGGAAGGCGGAAGGATCTCACAGGTCGCCTCAGCCAATGGTTTGTCCCTGCAAATAGAAAGAGGTGGTGACAAGAATTACAATGTACCGCTCCTACGCCTGAGCCTTTTCACGCCCTGCTGTTTTTGCACTATGAGCCCTCTGCCACAGGGCGCTGCTGTCCGCATTGGCAGCAGTTCTTATCCTGTGACGGGACAGCTGGTGTGTGCGGAGCTGGTGAGATGGGAGACAGGAGGCTCACAGCGCATGGCTGAGAAGACGGTGCAGAAAGGAAGAGGGATGTATTTGAAGAGTGGCTGTTGTTATGTAGAACGTATGATATGAATTCAAGTTGAGGAGAGGGGACAGCCCTAGAGGATAAAATGCTCTCTCCACGGGGCAGGTACAGCCTGGGCAGCAGCTAGGCAAGCATCTTCCCCACACACTGGGTCTTGCCTCAGATGTGATCTGAAAGTCTATTCAACCCTTAGCCTCTCTGCTGACACTGGCCCAAAGGCAGCTAATTAGTTTTGTAATGATGACGATGGTAACACCTAGCTCTCATATAGCACTTTTCACCCATAGATCTCAAAGAGTTTTACAGAGGAGGTCAGTATCATTATCCCCCTTTTACAGATGGGGAAACTGAGGCATGGGGAGGTGAAGTGACTTGCCCAAGGCCACCTAGCAAACCAGTGGCAGAGCCAGAAATAGAACCCAGGTCTCCTGAGTCCCAGTCCAGGGCTTTATCCACTAGGAAACACTGCCTCCCTTGATGCTGTAGAGACCTGTCCCCTAGGATATGGACTGAGACCCACAAACTTCTTTTCTTGTGAGCCCACAAGCAGTGTTCAGGTGGAAATGACTCTTATACGAGAGAGAAGGGGATTCAAGTTACTCCAGCACTGGGAGAACCTTCTGAGGAGACGATGGACCTCAGCTTAGCCACAGGATATGTAAGCTACTTTTCTCTTGGCATGTGTCCCATAGGGAACAATACCACCAATGAACAGAGGAGTACTTGCCTCCCTTCCTCGTCGTGCGGCTGAGATATCCTGCCCCTCATAGCACCCAGATGCCCTTGGGTCTCCTGGAGCTGAATGTGGATTTGCTGCAGCTGGTTCTCCAGGTCCTGGTTGTTTTCTTTCAGCCTCTGGTTCTCGCTGGTGGCAGCGTGCTGCTTGGTGCTGAGGCTGTGGAACTGGGTCTCGAGCTTGGAGGAGAGAAGAGGTGGCAGATTCAGGCACCCATAAAGGAGCCAGCAGGAGGGTGTTAGATTTGCCAGCTGCATATGTGGAAACCTGTTAATAATGAACTGAGCAATCCCTGGGGCCAAGCTCCCCACTGGCGTAAACTGGCGCCGCTCAAGGCACCTGTCTCCATTGCGAAAAATGCGCCAACTCCCGTTTCAAACAGGGCTTGAAGGCTGGGTCCCAAACTAATGACATAATGGAGAAGCAGCTCCACATTCTACCTTCTCCCAGGAGCTAGTGCTCTGCTTGGTGAGAGTTGATGAGGCTGATTGTTAAGGCCTGGGTTTTATTCGCTAGTGTGGAATGTCCTAACCTCCCGGTATTGTACCCCAACTCAGCAGGAGGGTAACGGTGCAACAGGTGGGAAAATGTCCCTGACGATTTGCACTGCAGACCTTTGCAGTGTATTCTGCATTGGTTCTGTGGGTGGAATTTCCACGGGCATCCAAGGACCAAATGCAAGACTGTGCAACAGAGATCTGCACTGCAAGGCCCGGTGTGTTCAGCATCACACCCAGTACCTTCTGCCCAGGCATGTCTGGTACATTTAGAAGCACAACTCTGTGTCTTTGCCCAGACATGCCTGGGATATTCAGCATCACAGCAGGTGCCTTTTGCTTGGATGTGCTTAGCATACCCAGAAGCACAATACAGTCTACCTGGTATGGTCTTCAGCACAGCAAGTGCGTTGCATCTGGGTATAGCTGGGACACTCGAGTAGCAAGCAAAGGGTTAATATGTGGTATTTTGGTACTCATATGCCTCTGTCAGAGATCAGCTCCAATAAAAGGGCCTGAGGAACAGGACTTGATTGGCTGAGCTAACAGGCCGGGAATCCGGTTGTGACACTTTTAGCCTGGGCCAATGGAGGCGGGCATAGGAGATGCTTTCTGTGGAGTTACTCAATAGGAGCCGCTCTTTCCTCTTAGTACAGAAGCAGTGCTCAGCATGGTGCCAAGAGGAGCTGTGCTGCTGGAGGGGCATCCCATGCAGTCCTTGCCCTCTCTGCTCTGTCTGCCACCCAAAACTGCGGTGATGTGGACATTCACCCCTCTAGGAACTCAGCTGAGTCCTCCGCAGGCCACAGAACATCTCACCTCACTTTGAACCACCAGCAAGCGCTGCACTTCCCCATCCACAACGTCTAGTGCTCTCTGCACCTCCGTGGTGTGCAGGTGACTTCTTGCTTTACTCTGGAATCACAGAGGAGATGTTAATGCCAATCTCTTTAAATGACCCAGCCACTCAAGGACAATTCCCTGATGCTACCCGGAGTAACAAATCCTTTCCACACTAGGAGCTCACTACACCGAGCACCCATGGGAGGGCCTCCTTTTATAAATGGGCTGCCCTGCATTTTGAATTCAGATACAGTCTCGGGTCAGAGAGTGGGAGGAAACAGGTATGTTTGCAGTGAAAGGCAGCAGGGTAAAAACCAAAGGACAGATGGAGAAGAAAAGGCGAATGTGGGGTTAGATCAAACCCATCAGAGTGGAGTGGTTGGTGAGTCTCTGCAGAGTCATTTAATTGGGCCCCTATTCTGAATCTGTCCAGAACTGGCAGGTATATTCTTGGGGGAAGTTTCCCGCTAAACAGGTTGGAGGGGGTTGCAGTGGGGGACATGGAACAACTCGCCTGCCCTGCCAAGGCCTGGCAGGGGATGACTGCCCAGGAGGGAACCATGTAGTCCTGAGCCCAGTTACTCATGGTGATGGATGGATTTGATCCTGCTGAGCCTCTGGTTTGAGGTTTGACGTGTTTTTGAGCCCCAGCTCATCCTTGCGAATGTTTAGGAAATGTGGGTGTGACTATTCAACCAGTGGGGAAGCCGATGACCCTCCCCTGCACCTGGTTGGCTCCTGTTTTTGTTCTTCCCTTTCTCAGGGAAGGTCTGACTGTCCCCGACCCTCTGGTCAAACACCATGGAAAAGGCCAAATCCCAAAGCTGGCCACGTCCCAGCAGCGAATCCCCAGCTCCTCTGCAAAGTTCTTCCCAGTCCACCTGCCAAACGTGAGGCCAGAGAGGCAGTGACAGCACTGCTCTGCTAATGGATCTGAGCCCCAGATGGGGAACACTCGAGCCCGACCCCATAGTTTGGGTTGAAAGGCCTCCCCTCAGCAGGACCCCCGAAGAGGGAATACCACCATGTTAGGAGGGAACTATACCTCCCCCCGTCCATTGCCATGCACGGGAGCTGGTCGTGACCAGGCCTGTCCGGATTGTGAACCCACCTCATGCTGCAGGCGCTGCTTCTCCCGGTTTATTTGCTGCTCCATTTCCTCGTACAGCTGCTGCACCTCCCGGTTGTGATCAGTGACCCGTCTGGCACAAGGGAATGAGCGGGCAGCTTTAATATGGGTCTGTTTACACCAGGTCTAGTATTTGAATGGGAATGTAGCGCTGGTGAAAGGGGACCGATCATTAGCCCTGGAGACCTCTCTTTCCCTACAGAACCAGCGCAACCTGGGAAGCAGCTGGGCAAGCTCCTCCTCCTCCACGCTGCCCTTGTCGCAACCCGGCTTCGACCCCAATCCGGCAGGGCCACTCTTAGAAGTAAGAGGGGCGTTCAGTCTCCATTCAAGGGCCTGATCTGATACACATCTAACTCCATCGATTCCAATGGGGGTGGATCGGGCCCTGAATCCTTTGTCTCACTACTGCAGTGAGAGGACCCGCTGCAGAGGTGGTTTTGAAATGTGGAAATCTGTCCACTAAGGCCATTTCACATAGGCCAACAAATAGGCCTTGGCAACATCTGATCTGGGCTAGGCTGGAAGTGGTAATATGAAGGCCAAAGGCGCCATAGCTGATTGTTAACCCGTGGAGCCATCCATTCTCCCAGAGCTGCGAATGCTGAATGCAGCTCCTCCTTCCTTTGGTTTCTCTTTCTCGCAGCCCCATTCTCCGCTCATCTCCCCTTCTGTAAGGCTGTGTCTGTGGAAGCGGATCCCCCCACGCCAGCCGCAGCGTGCCACTCACTTGTTCAAGGTCAGCTCCAGCGTCACCTTTTCGCTCCGAGCTTCCTTGATCCGGTGCGTCATCGTGGCCAAGAACTCCTCCAAGTTCCCCAACAGGTGAGGCTCGTCTTGACGGAGCTTCACCCACAGTCTCCAAATCTCTGATTGGCTGAGGAAAGAGAGAAAGAGACGTTGATCTCCCCTCGTTTGGAGGTCAGGCTAGATGACAGAATGGTCCATTCAGGCTTGAAGCACTAGGATGTTTCATGCTTTATAGCATTCAGATCCCATTGGATCTTGCAAGCTAAGCAAAGTCGGAGCCTGATTTGATCTGTTGGCGATAGCTGGGAGAATCTTTGCCTTGGGGTCTAGTTGCTGGTTAGATGTGGGGAAAGATCCCCTGGCAATACCTGTAATCCCATAAGAGAGAGCTACAGAATGGCACAGCTGCCATGCAGATACTCGGGCTCCTACCCATAGCGCAGTTAGACTCAGACTGAGGCTTGGGAGCCACAAATGGATTTTTAATGTCTCCCCTGAGGCTCTTCGCAGCACATGATATTAAAACCCTGTGTGATTGAATTATTAACCAATCTAAGTAATTAACCAGCCGGGATGCTCTTATTGTGTTGTTAAGCAGTTGTAGAATACTTGGTCAGTCATTCTGCTGCGAGAATAACATATAGCTATATAAAAAAAGTAAATGAAAAAATGAATTCACACGACTGTGGCTCTTTTGGGTCATACTGATCGCTAATTTGTCCCTTGAACCACTGTATCACTGCCATAGTGGTAGGTGGACAGATGGGTTGTAAAGACTGGAAAAGGTCTGTTAAAGGACTTTGCTGAAGGCTAGAGGAAAGGGTTTTAAAAGAATTTAGGGGTTGTGGATAGGGAACATGGGCAAGGGTGAGAATTTGGACTCGTCAAAAATGGGATTTCTTTTCCACCAAAGTTTCCAACATAAAATGTTTGTTTGCTCATTCAAAATTTTTCCTGCCGTTTTCCAGCTTTTTGGATGAAATTGTTCGTGCTGTTGAAAAGTTGGGTGATTGCCAGCAATACAAAAATGTTTGTGTTGTTCAAAAAGGCAATTTTCATTGGACAAAATGTCTCAGTGAAAAGTTTGTCCACAGACGTAGTGACAGTCCATCGGTAGCATGGACCTGGAATGGAATTGGGGCATAGGCGCCGACTTCCACTGTTCCCGGTGGGTGCTCGACCCCACCCCCGTCCCTGGCCCCGCCCCTGCCCCACCCTCGCCCCGTCCCCATTCCACCGCTTCCCACAAATCCCTGCCCCTGCCCCATCTCTTCTCCACCTCCTCCCCTGAGTGCACCGTGTCCCCGCTCCTCCCCCCTACCTCCTGGAAAGTCCTAAGCGCCGCCAAACAGCTGTTTGGCGGCGGGAAACACTGGGAGCTAGGCAGAGGAGTGGGGACACAGTGCACTCAGGGGGAGGAGGAGGTGAGGTGAGGTGGGGCGGAGGGTGAGGGGAGCTTGGCTGCTGGTGGGTGCAGAGGACCCACTAATTTTTCCCCGTGGGTGCTCCAGCACCTATGAATTGGGGTACTTTGCAGAACCTGCTGGGGGGGGGGGGGAAATACATGCCCTTCCCCAGGGATTCAATCACAACACATGTAGTACACAGGCCAAATGTGTCTCTGTCCCCCTCTGGTGCCAAGCCATGTAAGAGATTTGAGTCTGCTACTGCTTCTGAGCTAATGGAATTGGTGCTTCAGCGCAAGCACTAGGAGCTCATGAAGCTGGATATCCCAAGTTCAACCCCTGATGATGACCCTCCCATAGAGACAAGCGGTATGTGTTTATGCTCAAGGCCTGATTCTCAATTCCTCTGTTCCTATCTTTGGAGCAGGGATGGAGAGGGCAGGCAAAGGTGGCCTTAAGCCATTCCTGAGCTCCCTAGATTCACACACATGGTAGCCTGTATGGGGAATTGAGCTTGGCCAGTGTGTTACACGTGGATTCCACCCTTCTCACAAGCTTTAACCATAATGTCACATAGCCCCATCCCAGCCCTGAACCCCCTGCTAGGTGCTAAATGAAGGTGTGGCTGGTGCACTTTTACTCTTCAAAGATATTTTCTGCTCCCAGTTGGTCCATGAATGCTCTGAAGCATTTTCTTTCCTCGCTGTCTGCTTCCTCCAGGGAGTAGTCTGTGCGGGACATGTACACCCTCCTGGAAGCTGTCTTCCTCCTCCTGTGCTGCCTTGTCACGGTCTGCAAGCTCAGGAACTGCTCTGCCAATAGACGACCAAAACTACATCAATGGCCAGATGCGATACAACAGTGAAGCACCAAGGCCAACGTCTTCCCACGTGGGTGCTCAAAGCTAGACACCTATATCTACCTTTAGATGCCTACGTAAGGTGGTTTTCAGGGGCTCTGGGCACACGCAGTTCCCTTTGGTTTCTGCATGCGCAGCACCTCTGAAAATCAGCCCTCCTGATTCAGAAGCCCAGGGTGTCATTTCAGAAAGCTGGTGGAGAAGCAAACTGTCAGACTAGGACATCAGTCTCGCCTTCCCCATGTAAAAGAAGGGAGCAGCTGAGTGAACATTCACCAGCCTCCCGGCACAGTCACGCTTGGGATGGATTGATTGATGGATTTAGAATGGAAGAAAATGGTGCATTATGGGAAGACATTCTGAACAGGGGCCTAGGGCAGCAGGCGGACAACGCAAGGGGGTTTGGGCCGGTGAGCCATGCTGGGCATTCGAGACACATGGGCAATGTGAGGCAGTCCTGGCACCTGGAGCAGAAGGAGGACTATGTTGTGTACTTGGGGCAGCCTGTGGGCATGTCAGGCACATGGCGTGGATAATGGGCTAAGTGAGGGAAAAAGCCCGTTGCTCTTATGAAAGAGACAGCTAGCCAGTCTGAAGTGTTTGGCAAATATTCTCTGTTGAGATGAGTTCCTGTCTGCATCCTGTAAAACTTGCCCATACCGGTATTGCCCTGGCCTCTTCTTTTGTCATTCAGTGTTGCACGCATTCTAAAGCAATATGCATTTCCTCACCTTTTGGGGGCGAAGCCAGACTTTG